TAGGGAATGAATCTGATGTGTCTGGTGTCTCAGGGATAGGTAAGGGGGCTGGGGATGAAATCAGTGGCCAGAACATGAGGGACATTGAATGGCAGGCTAAAGAGGTAAGTTTTCCTCTGGGAATAAATAGATTTGAAGAGATTTTTAACAATGGCAGGAAATTATCAGATTTGGATTTTGTCTTCATCACCACTGACTGCTCAGTACTCAGCACGGTACCTGGCACATGGTAAACACATAGAGCATAGGAAACAAAGAAGTGAATGAGGGGAGGAGTGCACTTTGGGGATACTGCTTTGGCAGAAGTGTAGGAGATGGACTGAGTGGGGAGAGAGTCTAGAAATAGTTTTCTCCCCATCCTCCAGCAGAGGATCTGGCCTGGCCTCTCCTCTCTTACCACACCACCCAGCAAAATGCAATCCTGCTGGTGAATAAACCCTCCCACTTCCTTCTGTCTTGTGTGAGTGTTCACCAAGTCATTCCTCTTCTTTTTCTTCCTGCCTGCAGGGCGGGCCTGAGCCACTCTGGCCTGGGCATCCCAAGTCCGTGGGAATGAGCCCTTGCAGCCAACCCTGCTTGTCCACATGCAGATTAAACATGCAATGACTCAGGGCCAGATGTTAAATCTTGGGAACTTCCTGGCACATTTCGGGCTGCCTCTCTGACCTCTCCACCTCAGCTCTTTCCCCCACCAGTTTAATGTGCAAAAAAAACAAAAACACAAAAAAAAAACCTCAGGCCAAATCTGTTTGGGAAAAGTAAAACAGATGCAAAGAAAAGGATGTTCCACAGCCAAACAGGAACGATATCTGCAGTCTCCATGTTGACACTTCCCTCCTTCCCTCCACTGGTGCAGGGAAGAGCTGGCCCTGTCTTCTTTCCCTTTTGATTTTTTTAAGGCTCTAGGCATAAAGCTGCAGCTGCCCGGCAGCCCCTGGCTGTTTCGAGGGCTGCTTCAGAGGCATGACGACATTACACACTGCAAATGGCTTCAGATCCTGGCTTCCACCTCCACGGGCTGATGGTGCTGAAAGAAACCCAGAGCAAGGGGGTAGGGGACTAGCATTCTGGCTTCTGCCTGGACCCTAGCAATATGTGCAAGGCCTGTCCCCTCTCTGGGTCTCAATTTTCCCACCTAGAAAACGAGAAATTAGACTAAATGAGCACTAAGTGCCCCACCCAGCTGTGATGAGTCATAGTTCTAGATTCAGCATGTACTTCTGAAATGGAAGCTACTGGCACTCTTCAGCTGTGGAAACAGGGAATCTGCGGACCTGGGAGATAGCCGAGGCCCAAGAGTCAAGAAGCTCAGAATCATCGCCGTTTTTCAGACAAGGAAACTGAACCACAGAGAAACCGTGTGACCAGCCAGAAGTCACACAGCCAGCGACTGACAGAGCCTGAATTTAAACCCAGGCAGACCATCAGGGTTCCCAGTAGCAAGGGTGCCCTTTCCTGCCCAGGCTGTGAGGATCTACTTCCCTTGGCACCTGCTCAGGAAAGGAGGGGCCTTGCCCTCTGGTGACTGACCCGACACAAGGGCACCCGCCACCCCTATCTCCATGATGGAGGACATGACCTTTTAAATGCATCCTCTCCGGCTGACTTGACATTATTGCCTCGTTGTTTCCGTGCAGTCATAAATCACAGCAGCCCCATCCCCTGGCTTCTGGCTTCCTCCTGCGGCTGGAAAGCTCCCTGATTCGTGCAGAGGCGGCAGCGGCGGCAGTAGCATCTTCCGAAGCTGGCCAGCAACGCTCCTCTGTCCTCTGAGAATCCTTCCCCATCACCACCCTAGCAGGTTGGCCTGCAATAGGGGCAGAGAACACCACAGGTTCAGAAGCAAAGGATGACAGAGACATCTCAGTAGTCTGCCACTCTGTCTGAGGAGCATGGACCAGAAAAGGAGGCTGTGCTGGGAGGCGGGACCCACAGCAAGTTGAAGCCCTGTTTGTGCTTACTCTTGCTGGTTGACCCTTGGGAGAGCCACTCGACCTCTCTGGGCCTCAGACTGTGCATCCATAAAATAAAGGAACCGAGTGGATGCTTCTTAAGATTATCCGGTTTAAGTTGATAGCCTTTTGCCTAACTGCCCTGTCTCGGTATCTTCCCACCCTCTCCAGTAAAAGATCGGAAAGACCTTTGTAAATGTATGCCTGAAGTTCTCCTTCCCCTGCTTCGGGCCCACCATGCATATCGCTGTTGTCACATATGGCCCAAAGTCCCTACTCCTTAGCCTGGAATTCAAGGTCTCTCCTGAAGGTTCCCGCCTGCTTCTCCAGCTGCATCTCCCATGTGGTGACTTGACTTGCATTTCCTGGACACACAGTGCCCTAACTCTGGGCCTTTTCAAAAGCTGTTCCTTCTGCTGGGACTCCTACGCCCACCCCTCTTAGATCCCCGCTCCTCACCTTTCAAACTCAGGCGCTGTAAATCGAACCAACCATTCCCTCCTCAGTGCCCACAGTCTGTCATGCTGTGTACTCCAGAGCAGAGCCTAGGCCACGAAATTGTACTTCTTTGAGAATGAGTCTGGCTGCCCTGGGGTTATACAAATGGATTCCTTTGGCCGGGCTTGATGGCTCACGCCTGTAATCCCAGCAATTTGGGATGACAAAAGGGAAGAATTGCAACACAACGAGACAGCATCTCTACAAGAAAACAAAAAATTAACCAGGTGTGGTGGCACATATCTGTAGTCCCAGCTACTCAGGAGGCTGAGGCAGGAGGATTGCCTGAGCCTAGGAAGTTGAGGCTGCTGTGAACCATGATTGTGCCACAAGTGACAGAGTGAGACTCCAAAAAAAAAAAAAAATTTGACAAATTGCGCCAATGGGTAAGTGTTCTAGGAACCCATCATCATCAGTGTATTTTCTTTCTTTCTTTTTTTTTTTTTTGAGTTGCAGTCTCACTCTGTTGCCCAGACTGGAGGCCACCGCAGCCTCGACTTGCTGGGCTCCAGTGATCCTTCCGAGTAGTCAGAACTACAGGCGCGCACTACCACACCCAGCTGATTTTTTGATTTCCTGTAGAGATGAGGTCTCGCCAAGTTGCCCAGGTGGGTCTCGAACCCGCGGGCTCAGGCCATCCGCTCACCTCAGCCTCCCAAAGCGCGGGATGACAGGCTGAGCCACCGAGCCCGGCTGTACTTTCTGATGAGAAGATTGCGTCACAATTTGCAGGAGAAATGTCCCGAGTTGTGGCACATAGGTGACTGGTCCTTCCGCCATGACAGTGCACCTGCCCACACCTCAATGAGTGTTCAGCACTTTTTGGCCAAACACGGCATGACACCCATGCCCCACCCTCTCTATTTATCTGATCTCACACCTAGCAACTTTTTTTGTTTGTTTGTTTCCCGGGATGAAAAAAGCCCTCAAAGGGAAATGTCTCCATGATGTGAAAGAGGTGAAACAAGCTGGGTACGGTGGTTCACACCTGTGATCCCAGTACTTTGGGAGGCAGAGGCAAGGGGTTCGAGACCAGCCTGGACAACTTGGCGAGACCTTGTCTTTATAATACATCAAAAAATTAGCTGGGCATGGTGGCACATGCCTGTAGTTCCAGCTACTTGGAAGACTGAAGCGGAAGGATCACCGGAGCCCGGCTGGTAGAGCCTGCGGTGGCCGTGAACGTGCCACCGCATTCTAGTCTGGGTGACAGAGTGAGACTCTGACTCAAAAAAAATTAAAAGAATGGAACCAACCCGGTGATAGTCTGACCTCTTGAGTAGGACTTGAAAGGTTTTGCCCCAAAACAAACAGCACGGCCAAGATGCAGCAAAAACCCAGAAAGGCAGAACTATAGACAATCCCAGGAGCAAACAGGGTTACGTCCATAAACAAGGATCTTGAAGAGGATCCAGACGAAGCATTTTGAAGAAGTTGCTGTTGACATGTGCCTGACGACCCACAGAAATTCTCTGCTCCAAGTCAGCTGAGGCTGACCACCCCTCACCTAACTGGTTTCTCTAACTCTAGGGCCTAATTCTGAGATCCTGTAAACCCCACTGGGTTGGAGAAAGCGAGAGATTAAAGTCTAGTACATTTTATATTTTAAGTTTTGCAATTCGCTGAAAAGAACCAACTTCAAAATTTACCCACAAAGGGAAAGTGTGTCACCATAAAAAATGGGCCACTGTCTCAAACAAAGAGACAAGCCATCTATACTCAAGAGGCAGAGAATCCTGGGCTGGAATCTTCTCCCGAAACCCAGCTGCGTGAACTTGGGTCAAGTACTTTACCAATCTGGACCTGGGGCTCCCCACTGAATCTTAAAGAGAAATCTGCACCCTGCCCTGTGAACTGCACTGTAAAATGAATGGCAGTATTCTTCAGCGGGGTGGAAGGATCTGAAGTGTGTGTTTTGATACTTGGAACTCCAACAGAGGGCAAATGACTTATGGGAGACCCACAGTGATGGCAATGGCAGCAGCCTGCTTATCACATGGAGCGAGCGGGTGTTTTGTGTTTTTAGAGGACTCCAAGCTGCCGAAAGCCCACCAATTTCAGCTCAGTTCAAGGAAGTCATTTCTTCATTAGCTGGAGCTGTCCAGCGATGGCAGGGGAATCCAGGAACAGGGACTAGCAGCTCATGGGTGATGCTGAGCAGTGGTCCTTAGCCTGGCTGTGCATCACAACACCTCAACACTTGAGAGGAACTGGTCTAGAATAGAGTCCCTGGGCCAACCTAGGCATACTGGGTGGGAATTCTCCAGTGGCAGGGTCTGAGAATCTGTATGTTTTCAAATCTTTCTGAGGGATTTTTCCATCACCAGTAGGTCTGCTGGGGAGACCTCAAAAGGCCCTGGGACTCTGAAGAAGGCAGCCTGGGATGCTTGAAAAGGAAGGGAAGTGACCATGAAGCCCTTTGGGAGCAGGCTGGAAGGGGTGGAGAAACTGGCATTTTCTAGTGTCGGTTATTCTGCCGAGTCAGCCCAGCACTAATGCTTCGAGAGTGCAAATCCCACTTGGTCATGTAATAGGAACGCTGGTGCTGACGCAGCAGGCAGACAGGAGCCCAGTCTGCACCAGGGGCAGGAGGTAGACACAGACACTCAGCACCGACTCCCTGCTCTGAGCCTGGTTACTACAGGGGCAAAAGGCATCCTCTCCACCCCAAGACTTCAGCAAGTGGCGATGACTCAGGGGCATGGAGCCTGCATTGCCTTCGAGGTTTCAGGGCCAGCCAGGTGCTCTCGCTGTCTTCCTGGAGTTTGGGGTTAGTAAACCAGAAGGGACTGTGGAGGGACTCTAGTCTGTCCAGCACCCCATCTTCCTGTTGTCAGCCCTTTCTAGCACCTCCTCCTGCCACATGGTGCAGACCTTTCTGCCCACCACTCCTTATTCTGCCTTGTGGTGTTTCTTCTCCAGCAGCCTTTTATAGATGAGGTCAGAGGGTATGAAGCCCTTTTGCTTCCACATTGGACAGTCCCCAGGAGCAGAGAGTAGGCCTTCACCTTCACAGTGTGCTTTTCTCCTTCCATAATGCCTGGTGCATCATGGGAGTGGAAAGGAGACCAATGACATGTATGGCCAGGACAAGGGAGGCTAACACAAACCCTTGAGAAATGTGTGCCCAGAGGATTAGGTAAGGCCTAAGCGTTGTTGATGACAAGTGAAGGTTTGGCCTCCAGCCCCAGGACTGGCACCCCCAACCTCCAGCCCCAGGGCTGGCACTCCAGTCTAGTCCACCCTGGGGTCTGTCATCAATGCTCTATCCTTCTCCACCTAAATCCTTCCCTCAGTCTCTAACACTCAGATGGTGAGGAAAGACCAATAAGTGAGAAGAAGCAGGGGAGTGAATGTGTTTGCCCCCATGTCCTGGTGGAAAGCCGCACTACAGATGAGGAACCCAAGGCACAGCAAGGTGAAGCAACCTGTCCAGGTCACACCGAGTGTCAGTGGAGGGGCCGGGTCTTAAACCAAGTTCATGTGTCTCCTGTCCCTCATCCCACCCTCCAGAAGCACCACCTCAGTGGAAGGAATTTCCTCCTCCCTGGTGGCCTCCATTCAGAATTAGTGAAGGCAGACCTGACTCCCCGCACACAGCTGGGTTTTTTAATTTTATTTCAGTTTTTCTTCCATGTCCCCTCATTCACAGTACAGATTAAGCACAGAGACTGGGTTGAGGTGTGTATGAGTGAGGTTTTCCCTGCCACCTTTTTCTTTTCTTTTTTTTTTTTTGAGTTGGAGTCTCACCCTGTCGCCCAGACTGGAGTGCAGTGGCCGCTCCCGGCCACCACAGCCTCGACCTGCTGGGCTCCGGCGATCCTTCCACCTCAGCCTTCCAAGTAGCTGGAACTACAGACACGCGCTACCACACCGGCTGATTTTTTGATTTATTGTAGAGATGAGGTCTCGCTTGCCCAGGTGGGTCTTGAACCCACAGGCTCAGGCAATCCACTCACTTCAGCCTCCCAAGGCGCAGGATTACAGGCTGAGCCAGAGCCTGGCTTCCTTTTTATATATAGTCAGTGTAAGAACGTAGCCTGTGTAAGCACCAGGGGGTCATAGCTAGGTTTACTTCTAATCCCATCTATGGGAAGATGCAGAGAAAGATAGGCAGGGGTGGGAGCAGACACAGGGAGGAAGTGGATGACCTGTTCACACATGGGAGTGAGAGAGAGTGTACTTTCTAGGTGGTGGTGGAGAAGAGGAGAAGTTGGAGGGAGAGCAGTTTCCAGGTAGACTGCCCAAGGCTACAGCCATCCATGCTGGATTGTGGGAACTTGGGACAGCAAATAGAACACTGGAGACCTGATTCCAAAGATGACTTGCTAAATAACCTTAAACAAATTGACCAGGCGCGGCGGTTCACATCTGTAATTCCACCACTTTGGGAGGCCGAGTTGGGAGGATCACTTGAGCCCAGAAATTCCAGATCAGCCTGAGCAAGATGGTCTTTACAAAAATATGTTTAAAAATTAGCCAGGCATGGTGGCACACACCTGTAGTCCCAGCTACTCATGAGACTGAGGTGGAAGGATCACGTGACCACAGGAGGTCCAGGTGAGCTGTGATCCTGCCAGTGCACTCCAGCCTGAGGGACAGAAAGAGTCCCTGACTCAAAAAAACAAAACAAAACAAATTGCTTCTCTTCTCTGGATCTCTGTCTTTCCTTTGCAAAGTGAAGAACCAATAATCCATCAGCTCAGAGCAAGCCACTGGGTTAATGTTAAAACCTTCATGTTTTCTTGCCTTTGCCAAAATTATCTGAACTCCAGTTATTCTGTGCAGACCAGAAGTGCTCAAAGATCCAAGACATGGTAGTGTACACCTGTAGTCCCAGCTACTCGGAAGGCTGAGACAGAAGGATGGCTTGAGCCCAAGAGTTCAAGGCTGCAGTGAGCTATGATTGTGTCACTGCACTCCAGCCTGGACGACAGAACAAGATCCTGTCTCTGAAAAATAAAGAAGTACTCAATGACATCATGGGAATTTCCTAGCTATCAATGACATGATGGGGATTTCCTGCGTTCGTGGGTGAGGGTGGAGAGGATAAATAAAAAAGCCCTGAGAAGCAACAAGCTGGGAACCCAAGCATGGACCAGACACTGCCCTTCAGATTCTTCAGCCAGGAGGAATTTTAAGCAAAAGAGAGAGGGGAGCAGATGTGCATTTTTTTTTTTTTTGGAGTCTCACTCTGTCGCCCAGACTGGAGTGCATGGCTGCTCCCG